ATTGTTTTTCCTTCCCCTTTTTGTTTGTTTGGGGCTTTTGTTTGTTTTCGGTTATTTTGGTTTGGGGTTTTCTTGGTTGTTTTGTTCCCTACCAAAGAGTAAGGAGTGTGTATAAATCTTGGCTTCCTGAGATTTCATGTGAGCTCCAGTTTTTGCTGGTTATCAGCCTTTATAGATGGATTAGTCAGAACCTTCAGTGATGAGCCCTAGGTCAAATACTTCCTCTGACAAAATTGATGAGAATGAGGACCTGATGTGTTCTGCATTCCTTTTTTGTTGGAAGTCTGAAAGTGTCACTCTGAGTCTCTGAAATGGAGTTTCACAACTGGATGAGGTGGCTGTGAAGAAGGAATCTTCAGCCCCTTGAGAGAACCTATAGGCCTGTCTCTGGGTGTCCACTGTCAGGTGGGCACTGTAGTTGCTGGAGGCCTTTCCCCAAAGGGAGGGGGGTGGGTTGGTCTCAAATACATGTTTCAATTTCCAGAATGAGATGGGAGCATCTTTCCTTGCCCTCTGTGACTGTTTTTGTGGGTAAGAACAGGGAAGCTCAACATGAATTCATGTTGTGTTATATGGTGGTATCAAATCATCTCATTCTGATCTTCTGTTTATTTTTATTTGGGATGGGGGGGGGTGGGTGTCTGCTCCAAGGATTTAAAAATGCTTCAAACACTTTTTTCTTTACAAATGACTGATAGGACACAAACCTGAGCAGATGGCTGTCTTGCCTCAGTTTCTGTAAGAGAGGTTACAGAGCTGTCATGCCACATCTCTTGAGCTGCTGTTGTGGTGGTTCTTGCTCTGATGCTGAACTTCATAATGCTGCTGTGGCTGCTGGTCATTACTTCCTGAGAACAAAGTGAATTTTGTTCCCACAGACTTCAGCAGTTCAGCTACCATGGTAGAGGTTGGGCAGCTGTAGTCCTTGCAGGGAGTTTTCTGCTTGCTGTGAACTTCTGGTTTTCGAATCACAGTTTATCTTTGTAATCAACCAGGTCTCTGGACCAAAGAGCATGCATCTGAACTTCACAAGAAGGCTTTGGCAGATTATCCTGTAGGCTTTGCTCAATGCATCACTGCATTGCTAAAATGCCTCTGCGTGGAAGCATTGTTAAATTCTGCTGTAGACAAGTTAGGGAGGAGTGGATGGGGGGGTGGGGGGATGGGAGTAGGGATGTCTTTATTAAGATACAGCCTTGCTGTATTTTAACCAGTAATTTTGGGGAAGGGGTGTCAGGAGAAGAAAATAGTCACTGTTCCCCTTATTGAAAGAAACTGGAACTTTTATTTCAAGGAAAAAAAAAAAAATTTGCAATTTAGGTGGAGTGTCATAATCCAGTAGACCCTAGACAAAGGGTTGCTATTCTAACTGTAAACCAGCAAACAATATGGTCTAGTCCTTCAAAACAGTCAAGGGAGGGAGGGGAAAATTGGCTTTCTGTTAAATTGGCAATTGGCAAACTCTCCAGTGGAGCTCAGATTTTGTTGAGAATGTGTTTTCTCTGGCTTTGTATGTGTTGCAGCACTGACTTGTGAAGAGCTTCATGAGTTGTGAGTGCAAAAAAGATGAATGGAAAAATCCTGATTTTGTTAATTAAACTCAATAAAAGCTCCCTGGAACTCCCATTTGTTCTGTTTTTTTCATTTAACTCTGCTGAGTGAAAAACATGCTGGTGTCCTTATAGAGATTCATGGGGTCTGCATTGGATGCAACAACCTTTGGAGAGAAGCCTCAAGAAAAGGAGGCTCACAATAAAATGAGCTATGTCCATGAGAGGACATCCTTTTTCTGCACAGACCCTCCACATGGCAACTGTTTTTTCCAGGGTTGAATGCTCCACAGTCTCGTCTCCTCAAGACTAGAAGACGCCGCATGGCATCTGGTTGCAGTGCCAAGTTAGCTGCTTCTTTGACAATGAGAATTTCTGCAAGGGACCAGAGGACCACTGCAGATCCTGCTGGGGCTGTGTCCTCATGTCTTTCATTAAATCATCCTCACTTCTGCCTTGCTGGCTGTTTGTGCTGCAGAAGACATTGTGTGTGCTGTGGTTCTGGTGGTTGGAAAGAGTCTTTTAAAGATGCTTTAAAAATCACCAGCAAAGGAGTTGGCAAAAGCAGGTTTAATGTAAAAGTGAAAGCAGGGCAAAGTTCAGTGGCAAGGTTCACTCTGCTGTGGCCTAGATGGTTAAAGCACACAGGGTAAAAGCAGGCTACACCCAATCTTATCTTCATGGATGCTGGGGGAGAAGGGCCAAAAAAGTAAGGATAGGAATGGGTAAGTGGAGTCACAGAGTTGAGTCAACCCCCCCTGCTCAGCTAGGCCCTGGACTTCACCAGTGGTTTATGCATAAAGGTTTGCCAGCAAACCTAACAGCACTTAATTGATAGCTTAAGTTAAACAATTTAACAAAAGATTCGTACGGAATTTACCATAATGGTAACTAAGTATTTCAGATTGCAAACAAGGTCCCACTTTGAGCAGTGCCTGGGGCACTGGAGCAGTAAAAATGCACAGTTGCAATGAAATGAAATACTGCGTAAGTACATAAATGCCGAATGTGTTCTGATTTGCTGGGGTTACATTACACATGTATTCAACTAACTTACACATGTATTCAAAGGTATAGCTTTATTTTTAATATATTTACTGTATTGCTTTTGTTAAGCCAAGAAGTTTAATCTGTGACAACACAGATAATTAATCATATTGCTGAGCTCACAGCAAATATCCAGATTTCATTAGTTCTTGTCCACATTTAAAGGTCAAGCCTTTTTGTATATACTATTAATTGTATATACAGTTATTTTGTATATACTGTTATTTATTTCCCGTTGGAGAGAGGCAAATTATAAATATTATATATTCTATACTGTAATGCAAAAATATTACTGTAAAATGGCTCATTTAAGGTTTCTGACACCGTTCTGACTTTTAAATTCCTAGCAGGCTCTGGGATTTTTTTCCAGTATGTGTGTCCAAAATTCAGTCTTTAAATGTCTTGGCACGGCAGCTGCCCCGCCCGCGCGTG